TAGTGTGTTAAATCTTGCTTAATAAAAGTTGACTCCTGTGTCCAAATGAGCTGTTTGCAAATGAATTGCCAAATGGGCATTTATGTTCAAAAGGGGATTGTGAGGATATTACTCAAAGCAATATGCTTTTTTAGCTACGTAACAACAAATATTTAGTTAACCCTGTGAATTGCTACACTTCCTTAGTCTCGATGGATTTTAATTGCAGTACAGTTCACTGGGTTAGATCTTTTATCTACAATTTTTTTGGAAGTATATGTAGTTAATGTTGACCAACTATTAGCAGTGTTTCCAGGGGGTAAACCCATATTCAAAGAATCAGTAGCACAATGAAGGCAAATTAAGTGGAGTAATTCAAAGGTAACGTATTGGAATAATTGGGTTAAGGGGGTTCTACCACGTGGGCCATACACTTAGTTCTGTAATTTCTTGCACTGGTTACTCAGTTGGTGATAGCAGTTTTAGAATTATTTGTATCTATTTTCAGTAGTTTGTGAGGACAGGCTCCATTTTAACTTCTTCTGTAGTAGGAAGTCTTGATTATTAAATAGTAATGATATTGTCTTGATTTGGCTATTTAAATATTTAATAACAAAGAGGCTATTAGCAATTTAAGATGGAAGTTGATTTAAATTATTTGGCACAGAAAGTCTTGTTTAGAAATTTGTAGAGAGAGGTCAACAAAGTAAGGGTGTCCATTTGTAAATTTTGAAACACCTGTACCGTCCCAGATACCTTACCATCAGCTGTATGTTGTGTGTGTATACTGCCATTTCCATGGAAAGTGGCTAATTAACTACTTTGTTCATATCCTTGGTGATGCACTAATGAAAGCCATTCAAGCCTCTTTCTTTTATCAGTATTTTAACTAGTAGATTTGTATGTAGTACTGAGTCTTTCTCCCCCCCCCCCCCCTTGCTTCTCCCCAGGGGGCTGGTTAGTAGGAGTTGTGTGGTTTTTAAACAGTTAAGCACTATGCTAAAATATCAGTGGTAAGTCTGGTGTTAGTGATATGGCTATTTATGTTGGATTCAGAGAGAGGTGGAATTGAAGTATATTAGCCTTATAAGAAATAGCCTTAAAATAAGAATGGAGTGTACAAAATTAATTCAGCTTTAAGTCATACAAAAAACATCCTTAAATATTAATGGATTTTGGTTCAAGACTTTGATATGAAAACTCTGGAGGGAGAGTAAAAGATCATATAAATGTATTGAAAATAAGTATTTGTAATACCAGCAGCCTGTTTTTCAGATAAACTTGAATATGACTTACAATTATTAGTTTTGTTTATTAAATTGTTTGAACTTGCACAGTTGTAGGTGTAACTTAATGATAAATGGTACTCGTGTATATATATAATGTTTAATTCTATTTGTAAATGAGGAACTATGTAACAAAATCATAGGTATGAGGTTTTCCTATTGTAATTTAATACAGGTATGAGGTTTATGGCAATATATCATAGTTAATAAAATTTCAGGTCAAATTGTCTTTAAATTGTGTACATTTTTAAATTGTAATTTCTACTGTATATTGATTATCATGCATAGTGTGATTCAATAAATTGCCTGTAATTTAAAAACACTATTTAATATTAAAAAATAAAATACGGTTATATATTTATAACTTCTGTGTCTGTTTGTTCATCCTTAACAAACTTGTTCAGCTTATGCTTTACAGTGAATTAAATTATTGGAGTTCCCAGAAGCAAAGTTTAAGCATGTTCTTTAGTATGTGATGCATAGTCCCACACTTCTCAGCCTACACACAACCATCTGTATTAGAGATTTATATTTTGATACCCGACTCTCCATTTATCTCGCCTCATCTTAACTTTGATGTGCATGGACCGCCAATAAGGAAGCAGTATTCAAAGTACAAACCGAGTAGAAATTAAGTTTAAATCCCTGAGACTTCTGGGGTATTAGCACTTCATAACCCTGCAACCCCCTGGCAGGTAGAGAAATGAGGTGGAGTGCCTAAGGTTGTGGTTGGACAGGGAGTTTCTCTGAAATTACTGGTGAATCCTGTAATCACTGGGCCATCTTCCTTACTAATGACAACTTGTCAGAATTCATGATTTGTGTTGCTTTGACTGCTCCACAGTGCCTGCTATTGCCATGTTGGATCATTATTTTGGTGCTGACACTGAGGGAAAGA